ATAGATTTCATAAATGTTAGGGCTGGAAAGGACCTTGAAGATCACCAAATCCAGCCCCCTGCCCCAAGGGCAGGAAGTCAGCTAGGGTGAAAGGATCCCAGCAAGATAAGCATCCAAGTATTTCTTGAATGATTCTCTGATCATATTCCTGGGCACTGGCCTTATTACTATCAGCACTGTGCAGAGCAGTGGGAGCACTAGCCTGGGCTCCAGGAGTTAATGCAGCCACCTGTCCCCCCCACACTGGAGCTTGTTTCCTTAAGCGTTGCCCTGATTTCCAACACCAAGCACGGCTTCCTGTGGTGCCTTAGATATTCTTGAACCATCTGGTTTCTACCTTTGGAGGCCTTACTTGTCTTTGCAGTTCCACCTTGTCTGAGCGCATGCCGGCACTCCTTGGCCTCCTCTACATGAGGAGCGGAGGAACTGTGACACCCTGCTTGCTGTTTTAACTTACTCTTCCACTGCTTTTCCCACTTCAACTTCTCCTTCAGATCTTTTGCTTGTCTTTGTATGCAAGGGGCTTCATCGTTCTGATCTGGATACACCTTCCATGGGTTGGCTGTGGTTTTCCTCTGTTTGTTTCCCTTCCTTTTCTTTCCCTTTTTCTTCTAGTTTAAACAGGTGACAGGCATAATCCTAGGGTTTGTCTGTGCCTGTTGCGTCCAGCATGAAGGATGCTCTCCAGTTTTCATTTAACACCTGATTTACAAAGCGGGTAAGTACTACTGAGCACCCACCAGAGTGGGTACATGGGGCCAGCACGAAAGCAGCCAGCTAGAGGGAGCGTAGCTCAAGGAGCTGGATGCTGGCATGCATAGCACAGGACTAATGGGGTCTAGCCAGGACCCTTGCTCACAGTGGGACAGGTATTTGCCCAGAGACGTTTAACCATTTCATCCAATGACTATAAAATGCAAGGTGCAGTGGGCCAGTCCCAACAGGAAGGGCACCTCTCTTTCTCCTTGGCTAATGTCCTAACCACAAGGCCATTAACCTGAAAGGTGGAGGATACCTTCCGCCTCCTCTGGCAACTAACACCTGCTAGTTGTGGTTTTTCTCCAAGCAAAATTTCTGGACTTGCCCTGACCTTACGCAGGTACCTGAGTGATTCTGTTTGCCTGGGGAACCACACAGCTGAGTAGAGCCCTGCTGAGCATGCTCAGTAAGCTAGTGTAGGCCATGCTGAATTGCAAACTGTGCATAAATGGAAAACCTGTGGTTATAGAGCTACATACTTGTCATTTATACGTGTGAACGGGAATGGAATCTGGTCCTAAATAAACACTGGAGAAGTGGACATTTGGAGTAAACAGAGATAAAGAGAAATTATGGCATAAATGGATATGGATGGTGGGGGAAATGAAAGAACCAATCAATGAAAGTATAAGAAGTACCTGACAAAAGACCTGACAAAGAATGTGTTACATTCACAAGCTTGTCAAACTTTACTCCAGCTACACAGCTGGGCCAATAAAAGATCTCACCCTAAGAAATCCTTGCCTGCCTTTCAGAAAGACACTGAAAATAGAATATATAAATAGATGGTATATGGCAGGGTCCTGGTTTTAGTTCGGGCCTGTGCTCTCAGCAGCAGTGGGGGCCTCTGTCCTGATTTGGGTTCTCTACAAAACCCAGCGGCATGGGATTGCTACCGCATCTGTTGTCTGTGGAAAACCAAATGTGATAGTGTCTTCCACCATACCTGACCCCTCAAAATGATGTCAAGAGCATCTAAATTTGATCTCCTGAATATCACAGGCCCCCTTTCCTCTAGCTTGATTTCAGTACCCTGTGTTTAACTGAAGTATACTCAACATGAAGACATGACAAGATGCACAACATCCCCTGGCTGTTGGTTTCAATGGTCAATCTCCCCCATGGTTGAAAGTGCAATCCTTATTTTCAGTTGGAAATTGGCTTTTGCTTCCTACCATTATTTTTTGTCTTGTCTGTCTGCCAATCATTAAACGGCTCTTTGGCATCTTGTATTTTCATCTTTGAATTGTAATCAAATCACCTATTGCCCTTCTTTTTGATAAAATCAACCAATTAAGCTGCTCCCCATTCTGAAAAGGGTCTTCTTCACCCTCTTCAGGTGCAGACAGAAGTGACAATTTTCCCCTGATCTGGCCCCTGAAACTGCTCTACAGAAACGCATGGCCACAAAAGCGCTTTAAAAGGGCCTGATCCCAGAAAAATCTGAACATGAGGGTTCAAACGAAGACATTTCAAAACATAGCATCTTCACTAACTTGTGTCTGCTCTGCCTCCTAGCCTTGGAGCTGTTTTCAGAATGGGAGGGAGCGGAGGAAATTTGGTTTGGGGGTTTTTCAGCCAGTGCTGAAGGATGGGAGGGGATGTGAACTCAAGTAGCTCCCTCTGCTCCCTTTCCCTCCTCCCATTCTGAAATCAGTGCCTGGGTTGCAAGGGACTGGGTTCATTGCTAGGGGAAACTGGATTCCCAAACCCTCCCCCCCGGACCCAACAGCAAACTTCTGCTTGGTCCGATGGATTGTTGCAACTCTGAATGCTTCCTGCAAAGTGTTACAAGTTACAGTGGGGAGCTACTAATTTGTCTGCTCCCTTCCTGTCCTCAGCATCCCTTTTAAGTTGCAGACACCAGGACTGATCTTCCCAGTACTGTATACCAGGGTACAATGCTCCTGCTCACCACATCCCTATTTATACAACAAAGGTTTTCATTCAAACTTTTTGCCACAGCATAAGCCATGCTTTCCCAGAAAAGAAACCTCATGTCTGTGGGCATAGCCTGCTATCTTTTACCCTATCTTGAATCATGCTTGGACGGGATGGGCTCCACCTTTCCCCTAAAGGTAAGTGTGTGTTTTCTTCTAGGTTGGCGGACCTCCTCCGGTGGGCTTTAAACTAGGCTCGTTGGGGGAAGGGGAAGACGAGGGTGGAGGAATCATCGGACTGCCAGACCAAGCAACGCCAGCAAGTACAGCCCAGCCTAGACCAACGAACGAATCGTATACACAGGTAAGTGACAGGGGCTAAGGCAATGCTGTGATTAGGGGGCCAGTACACACATCCACAGAAGGCCTCAAATGCCTCTACACAAACGCTCACAGTATGGGAAACAAGCAGGAGGAACTCACCCTCCTGCTAGCTGACACCAACCCGGACATAGTGGGGATCACTGAAACATGGTAGGACTCAATGCATGACTGGGCGGTGAATACCAAGGGCTATAGGCTGTACAGGAGGGACAGGATAGGAAGGAAACGTGGGGGCATGGCACTCTACCTTAAGGAGGAATACACATCCTCGTCAATTAATAAGGAATCAGAGGAAGGGCACTCTGAAGTGCTTTGGGTTAGATTACAAGGCATCGAGGGGAAAGAGACTTAACAGTGGGGGTCTACTACAGACCTCCCAACCAAGGGGAAGAGCTCAACCAGGAATTCTTAGGTCAGCTCACGGA